CCATCGAGTCGGTGATGCCATCCAGCCATCTCATCCTCTGTAGTCCGCTTCTCCTCCTGCCCCCAATCCTTCCCAGCATCAGGGTCTTTTCCAGTGAGTCAACTCTTCGCATTCACTACCCCTCCCCAAATTGTTTTAATTTGGATTAGCATTTTTAAAGGGTGATAGTGGATTGTATGATTTTACAGGGTAATTTTTATCATTATGAGTCTCTCTAAATATTTAATCTGCCTTGTAGATCTTTTTACTACCAAGGAATTGAGCATACTGTTTTCCAAGAGACTGAAAAGCTGTTTCTGCCATGTTTCCCACCCCAAACCATTTTTATGCCTGTGGAGGCTTGAGGGCTACAGAAATATAGAGTGCTAAATATATGTTATTAGGGCTGAATCAGAAGTCAAAATTCAACCAGAAGTTCATGTCTGTAAGTCATGCCTATTTGTATAAGAAGTAAACATTTTTACCAGTTAACCTCACAATTTCTGGGGTCTAGATGGCACCATAATATAGAGTTATTTAGGAATATATGGATAGATGAATGGAGATATATATATATATATACACGTTTCTGTTCTGTTAAGAAGCTAAGAAAAACCTCTGACCACAGTGTTAATAAGATTTGTGGGTCGTTTTCTGTTGGATATCATGGATCTTAGGAACAGAGAGGAAAATCTTCTTTTCCTGGATAATCTTATCCTCGTTGAGAGCTTCATTACAAACTAAATGCTGATGATTCCCTAAGTCTTTGTCTTCAGCTTGAATCTTTCTCCTGAGGTCTAAAACCCCCAAATTATAATCCACATCTGATATCTCCACCTTAATGTCATTAACTCTCCCCTCCCTTATTAACTGGTGTCAATCTCTACCCCATGACCCCAGCTTTAAGCCAGAATCGTCCCTAATCCTTCCTCCCTCTGTCAGTGAACAAAGAAAGCCCGATCAGTTGTATTTTCTAGACTCTCTAACCCCTCTCCTCAATCTCTGCTTCCATTTCCCTGGTTCAAGCCTCTTCCTCTCACTAGATTGCTGAAGTAACCTGTTGACAACAACTCCTGCCTGTATTCCCCCACCCCGATGGCAATCCATTTTCTCTGCCTGCTATTGGAGACATTTTTCTAAAGCTCATTCATATACAGTCATGTCAGTAATTATGCTCAGAATTATCAAGCATTTCTTTTCTTGTCTACAGAAATTTTGTAGCAGCACATTTAAAGCCCTTAGTCATCCATCCTCTCCCCTCTTTCTTGTCTTTATCTCCTGATCCCTTTCTCCCATGGATCCTTCCTACATCCCGGCAGTCAGCTGACATCTCAAAAGATGTCAGGCACTTGTGTGCCTTCGACATTTCTGCATACACTGCTACCCTACCCCATCCTGTTTCCCGACTTCTCAGCGAACCCCTCCAGTCATGAGTTAGCGGTACCTGAACCTGTTTCGTGAGCTAGATCGCAAGCTCCTTACGGGAGGTAGTGTTCTGTTCATCTTTGCGTCTGCAGTGCTTGGGTCCATAGAAAATATCAATAAATGTTTTAACAAGTGAGTTAAAGTTCTGAAGTTCTCTGATGGCCCACCAGAAAACATAACTATGTATAGTGAAAGTGAAAGTCACTCAGTCGTGTCCAACTCTTTGTGACCCCATGGACTATACAGTCCATGGACTTCTCCAGGCCAGAATACTGGAGTGGGTAGCCTTCCTCTCCTCCAGGGGATCTTCCCAACCCAGGGATTGAACCCAGGTCTCCTGCATTGCAGGCGGATTCTTTACCAGCTGAGCCACAAGGGAAGCCCCAACTATGGATATATTGTATGTAAAAGATTTCCTGTAACCTCAACCTTATACATCCACAAATATGAAATTAAATTTTTTAAGGCTTTAAAATTTTTTAATTTATTGTTTCTTTGGGTTGTGCTGGGTCTTCATTGCCGCACACGGGCTTCCTCTAGTTACCGCGAGTGGGGCCTCCTCTTCAGCTACAGTCTGTGGGCTTCTCATCGTGGTGGCTTCTCTTGTAGAGCACAGGCTCTGGAGCGTGCAAGCATCAGTGCTTGTGGCACAAGGGCTTAGTTGCTCCGTAGCATGGGGATCTTCCTGGACCAGGGATCGAACCTGTGTTCCCTGCATTGGCAGGCAGCTTCTTAACCACTGGACCACCAGGGAAGTCCAAAATTTTAAACACACATACACAACAAAAAACGTGTAACAAGCTTCAGCACTAAAGCCATGCTCTATCTTTCCTAAAACAGCCTCAAGCTTTCACTCAGAGCTATTTATTCCTATGTAGTGTAATGCCTGATAGGATTGTTTGATTACTTTTCTGGTTCCCAGTAGGTGAACAGACTTGGAGTAGAGAAAGAAGGATATTCACCCAGGGGTGGCAGTGAAAGGCCTGATAGTGAGAGCGAGAGTCGCTCAGTCGTGTCCGACCCTGCGACCCCGTGACTGCAGCCCGCCAGGCTCCTCTGTCCCTGGGACTCTCCAGGCAAGAGTACTGGCGTGGGCTGCCATGCCCTTCTCCAGGGGATCCTCCTGACCCAGGGCTCAAACCCAGGTCTCCCACACTGCAGGCAGACTCTTTACCATCTGAGCCACTTACCAGACATACTGAGGAGCTGATAGCTTTCCCTCAAGTGAAGATAAAACCAAAAGGAAGAAGGTAAATTAATATATGGTATACATTAGTAATAGATGTTAATAATGATGATTCATCAAAAGGAAAAGTTGTTTAAGAAGGCAGCATATTCTGTAAAATACTTCATAAAGGATTTTCTGTTTAAAATGGTTGAAAGAGTCATTAAGATTTAGATATGCCATGAATTTTCATATGTGGAACACATAATTCCCTAACAATGCCAGCTAATGGTTCTCCAGTATCACAGATCTGCTTTTCATATTGATAATATAAAATTTTACATGTTGATAATATAAAAGTCTGTTACAGAAAAAAAAGTTTTTTAAGTAGCTTTTTTCTGAATTCAGTCCATTGCTTTAGTAAAATAGTTATAAACTATGGGCAATTTGCCCCAGTAAGGTAGTGTAAGATATTTATAAGGTATTTAATGCAGCAGTTGTTTGCTTTGTATGATGTTATAGAAATAACACTCACTATAACACTAATACACTAATTATAGTGTAACCCATTCCTTTGAGTCATTTATTCTATTCCTATTTACCTCACCTTTGTGTCCTCACATTTAGCGGTATGTTTTAATAGTTTCTAGATGTGTGCACAAAGATGTGTGTCTAAAGTTTAAACATTTGGGGATTATCTGGGGTAGACGTGAAACCCACGCATAAAAATTAATTGTGAAAATAGTACATGACTCTAGAATCAAATACTGAATGGTGATATTTAAATTTTGAATGTTATAGAAATTCAAAGGTAGCAAAGGTAACATAGGCTGAAACAGAGACAGTGGAGCCTGATCTGTGGCAGGCAGCCCCCAGGCATCTTCCCAGAGAAACGTGACTGTGTGTGGTCTCCATCGGCCCTTCATCTCACCATCGCAGAGGTGTCCAGATTCCCCACTAGCTTACTCTTCATCCCCAGAGTGATTTGAACAGTAGTGACCATAGACAGAATAATACTTACATTAAAAATTAGTGAAGAAAGTGTGTGATATAATTGTTGTTTAGTCGCTAAGTCTTGTCTGACTCTTTTGCAACCCTGTGGACTGTAGCCCACCAGGCTCCTTTGTCCATGGCATTTCCCAGGCAAGGATACTGGGGTGGATGGCCACTTCTTTCCCCCAGAGGATTTTCCTGACCCAGGGATCGAACCCATGTCCCCTGCATTGGCAGGCAGATGCTTTATCACTGAGCACCTGGGAAGCCCATGTAACATAACACTATGCTTTATATGTAAATGTATATAATTGTATAGTATAATAGGCTAGGGTTTGTTTTTTTGTTTTGTTTTGTTTTAGTGATGTTTGACTAAGAAATAACAGGGCATATTTTAGGTATATACAAGCACTGCTTATACAAACCAGAGCAAGTGGTAATCACCTTCAGAGTCATCAAGAGTCAACCAATGCATTCTTTCCCGTAACACTGTCATCCTTATATTTTTGGAGCTCCTCCTTTGCATTTCCTCAGAGTCTGTGACTCATTCTTTTCAGCATCCTCAGCGGTGACAGATCTTTTTCAGTTGAGAATGAATTTGACTTTTGGAACCAAGAGTCACTTAGGGCCAGGTATGATGAGTAAGGTGGAGGATCAAGCTGAAAAATGCTGTTTTTGGTTAAAACTGGTATGTGACAAAGTAATGAGAGTGTTTTCTTGCCTGGCTTATAAAGTAACCAATTTGGGGTTAAAGTATTCTAGATAATTTGATTTTCTGATCAGCCAAGTACTTAAAATTTAAGCATTTGGTAAAATGCAGACTAGAACAGTTAATTTAACCCTGTATTCAATCCTGTCACATTCTTGGGTGATCTCTGCAAGTGTTCATGATTATCATAGCTCTCCATGGCCGGCAAGGATGTGAGAGATTAGAGTGAAGGAGAAGAGGGTGTCAGTGGAAGAGATGGCTGGATGGCATCACCGATGCGATGGACATGAACTTCGGCAAACTTCGAGAGATGGTGAGGGACAGGGAGGCCTGGCGTGCTGCAGTCCATGGGGCTGCAAAGAGTTGGACACAACTGAACAGCAACAACAACAATCTAGAACATGTCCTGAAAATCTATCTGTAGGCAGTGGTACATTTGTATTTCTGCCTTTTTTTAACCCAGATAGATTTTATTAGCTTATTTTTCTCATTTGTTTTTTCCTAAAAGGAGAGGTTTTTTTATTGTTTTGTTGCAAATTACTTGAGGCTCCTGCAAGATGTGCCTTCTCGGTTCTTCAGCGAAGGAACTCCTCTTTTAATTGTTGAGCCGTATTTCAAAGGTGATGTAAAGAGTTGGAATATTCCTGCTAAAACTCATTAGACTTTAACCTATTATAGATAATTTTACTATTTTAATGTCTTCTTCTTTTTTTTTTTTTCTATATCTAGTTAAAAAATCTAAGTTTAGAAGAACTACAGATGCGGTTAAAAGCACTGGACCCCATGATGGAACGAGAAATAGAAGAGCTTCGTCAAAGATACACTGCGAAAAGGCAGCCCATTCTGGATGCAATGGATGCGAAGAAAAGAAGACAGCAAAACTTCTGAGTCTAATTTCCTTTCTGTTTGTTTCTGTGAATGTTCTGGAGACCAGGAAGCCACTGAGAATGGAAGAAATTTTATGATTTTTTTTAATCTCTGAGATTTGGGCCCTACAGTCGGGCAGCAGCCAAAAACGATGATGGTACAAACCCAGGTGAATTCCCGGAAGACAGGACTTAACACGGTTTCCACTGTGTTTTCATTTTTAAATGATGAAAACAGCAGAAGTGCATTCTTCTCTGTATCTGTCAGCTACATACCAGCACTAAAACTGTGTTGTAAAACGAAGGCTGTGTTTAGAAACCTTGAAAATCCAAAGCTATTGTTGAATTGTACAGCACCGAAGGGCTTTATGTTACAATATTCTTTATTCTTTTCTAATAGCCTATTTATTGTATCCCTCTAGGTAAACTTATTTATTTATGCTATTTCACTTTGTTTTGTAAGGGCAAGATCAGGATAGCTTTGGTGAAGGTCGGGACATATTAATAGATGACAGTGTACAACCAAATTATACTGTAAGCCAGGAGCTACCGGGTACATTCCTTGATTTCCAGGATAGTTTTCCAATAGAAGCAAAGCAATAATAGCAATAGTACATAAATGGGCCAGGCAATTTTTTATACTGAAGCAATAATTCATTTTTACCTTCTGAAATTTTAATTTTTTTATTTCTGACGTTTGGTACAAATAGGATTATATATATTTAGGTCATACAGAGCTATAATGTTTAAAACCAAAGAAATCAATGGAACCCTTGCACAAAAATGTATGGTGAATATTTTAAAAGAAATAAATCCTTAAGACAAATGTAATTCTTAATATTGTTTCATGCTTCATGGGTAGGTCTGAGAGCTAAACTGTATCAAATTGTAATAAGCTCATCACATTTATTTCTGTGAAAATGCTCAGTTGTCCCCAGACTTTTTTGTTGATTTCACTTATTTGCTGGGAATTGGTAAACATCATGTGCCTGATGATAACAAAGTAGCAGAAACGTTTGTACTGATCTGTGCAAGCCCTGGGGACTGGGGAAAAAAAAAGATTAAAACCATTAAAAAGAAACTCATTTCTAAGCTGAATGAACATTTGCATGATTGAACCGGGACCAGTCATTTCCTAAACTACATATGGCCATCTTGACAGCGTTTGTTCTTTTGTGTGTTTAATTACTATGTGTAAATCATAAAAACAAATAAATTTACTGTGCCACCCAGCACATTTCAGCTCTTTTTTTTAAAACTCATGACCTAGATTCTGTCTTTTCTAGGCAAGGAAGGTATGTTAGTCAGGACAGTACAGGCTAGATTATTCAGTGATAACAACCCTAAACCTTCAAGGGTTTAACATAACCTAGATCACCTGTCACCCACGTGCCCTGCTCCTGACCTTCATAGCCAGGGACCACGCTGACAGAGCCTCCACCGTCTGCAACGTTGGTGGTCACCACAGCAAGGAAAGGAGCGCTGGTGAGTCACACGGTGGCTCCAGCCAGCAGCAACGGAAGTTGTGTCCTCTCTGGAAACTTCTACTCCTTTTTAAAATGACCTTTGCACCCCGGGTAATACCTGGAGTAACATTTGTCTTTGCCCCGTTGAGTCCTTACAAACAGTAAATTGTCTCATTGGATACAGGTTATGATATTGTTAAAACATGGTAAATATTGAAGATTTTATAAAGGTTATTAAAAATGGTGCTGGAGAAAACTTGAGTCCCTTGGACAGCAAGGAGATCAAACCAGTCAATCAGGAAATCAGTTCTAAATATTCATTGGCAAGACTGATGCTGAAGCTGAAGCTCCAGTGCTTTGGGCCACCTGATACGAAGAGCGGACTCATTGAAAAAGACCCTGATGCTGGGAAAGATTGAAGGCAGGAGGAGAAAGGAGGCCACAAAATAGGAGATGGTTGGATGGCATCACCAACTCACTGGACATGAGTCTGAGCAAACTCCAGGAGGTAGTGTAGGACAAGGAAGCCTGACGTTCTGCAGTTCATGGGGTCACAAAGAGTGGGACACGACTGAGTGACTGAATAACAACAAATGAAGACTGAGTTTGTGACTTCAGCTATCCGCTTCAGGGTCAGTCAGATGAGTCAATCAACTCAAACACCCCGCCCTTTTTTTTCTTTGTTTTTCTTTCAGTAAACTGCTGAATACCTCACCTAATGTGATGGAATCCACTGACTGATTTATTATTAGCCAAGTAAAGCCACCTACATGAAATGACAAGAAACCTATGAAGATGATTTATCTCCTGTTTACTAAACTAGAAAATTTATGCAAATTCATTCAACAAGGCCTGTTAACTACTCTTACTAATAAAGTCTCAACAAGAATCTTCCTCTTAATCATAAATATCCCATGTTTCAATCATAATTTTTGTGTGACTAGACTTTACATTTGTCTTTATATATGTATATTTGTCTTTTTAAATGTGTATGTTATTTATATATGTAATTATTTGTTCTTTATATATATGTTATTTATATATGTATATTTATATGTTGTTATATTTGTCTTTCTCAATATATGTATGTTAGTCGCTCAGTTGTGTCTGACTCTCTGCGACCCCGTGGACTCTGTGGACTATACCCACCAGGATCCTCTGTGCATGGAATTCTCCAGGCAAGAACACTAAAGTGGGTTACTGTTTCCTTCTCGAGAGGATCTTCCTGACCCAGAGATCAAACCCAGGTCTCCTGCATGGTAGGCTGATTCTTTACCATCTAAGCCACCTGGGAAGCCCAAATATATGTATACACACCTATATTTAGAGATTTAAGAACAGTAGACATTGTTCTACTTCAGAACCTTAGGAAGCTCCAGAACATTTCAGGATAATCTGCCTTAAAATTTTCCTATCTTCTCACTCTCTGCCAACCACCAATCAAAAAAGGAATGTAAAGTTTGGAAGAACCAAAAGCCGTTAAAGAAACTTTCAAGTCTAGGTCAGCATTGATTAATCATTATTCTTAGGAAAGAGTTTTCTGGTTATTTTAATGAGTTTAAGAAGAAGACACTTATTATTTTAACCTTGGTTGCTGAGAACATTCCAAAAATAGTTAAGTGTACTTTCTGCACACCCCCGTCCTTTCATAGATACAGTATTGTAGATGTAATTGAAGCTAATGAAGAAGGATTTCATCTTGCTGAAAAGTCAGCATCATTGTATATGTTGGCCTCTAGATGAGAAATTTTTTTCTTTGATTTAATGAACTTAGATGACTCATTTCTACAGGCTTACAATACACTTAGCTTATTTTAGCATAAATAGTTTTATATTCAAAATATGAGCTACTGTGGCCAGTTGGACAAGAAAATATATTTATTTAAATGGTTTTCAAAATAATAATACCTGTTATTTGGGACACTTATGTGTGTCAGATACTTTGCTGAACAGCCTTACATGTATTATTTACATGCTTTTGAATTTCTTTCTTCTGCTTGTTTACTGAATCATACCCCCAACTTTTAAAATCACTCTCTACTCACTGAAAAATATGTAGCTTCTCTTGTGGAAATTACATATTAATGAGATGTTTTTAACTTAGTCACAGGAAATCTTTTCAAATTACTGACATGTTAGCATTCAATAGGAGTGCTATTTTCGTTTCCTATCCTGTATGTTAAAGAATAATAATTAAAATAAGTCCGAAAGTACTAATAATAAAACATTCTAAAATAGAACGATTTTTAAAAATAATTGGAATTGCATTGCATACTAAACTTCTTAAGTACAGACATTTAATAGATATTTTATCAAAATGCTATTTTGGAGTACTATTTGGAGATTCTTTCTGGGGGGTGGGGGCCGAGAGCCCAGGAATCTGGAGTCTAACAAGAGGATTACTTGTCTTTCCTGTTGGAGTGGTTTGCTGAGATACAGGGCCACTTACATACCTTAGTAGCTTAGTCTGATGTATTGGATCATGGCTTATCCTCCAAGGAGTCAGTCAGCTTCTCTCCGTGTTCCATATCTACTCAAAACACCTTCAACCTCAGTCAGCCAACTCCCTGAGTCATAAAAAGACCCCAAACGAGAAAGCAAGTGACCAATTCGGTTCTTCCACTAGTCTTGGAAGAATAGTTCCCAGTCCACTGCTCTTCTCACACCTGCATTAGCCAGACTCCCGATTACAGTTTTTTTTTTCTTCACTTGATTAAGCTCCCTAATTTAAAATTCTGATTCTGCTGGTCACTCTTCCGGTTCACAGAACTTTGCCTACCAAGTTAAGGATGAACTCTGCGCAATGGGAGGAAAAAAAAAACAAATGAACTCTGCCTCCTGCCATTCAAGACCTGTGTGCGTGTCACTAAGCTTCAGGCATGTCCGACTCTAATCCTGTGGACTGTAGCCCGCCAGCCAGGCTTCTCTGTGCATGGGATTCTCCAGGCAAGACTACTGGGGTGGGTTGCCATGCCCTTCTCCAGGGGATCTTCCTGACATAGGGATAGAACCTAGTCTCCAGCATCTACATGCATTGGCAGGTGGGTTCTTTACCATGAGCGCCACCTGGGAAGCCCCTCAAGACCTGCAGCTTGTCCTAGCCCATCCTGCCTTAACTGCTTTCTTTGAGGCCTTTCTTCCACCAAACCAAACTACTTCCAAATTCTTTTTGATTTCCCTTATTACTGGATTGTAAGGTAGCTGAAAGCAGAAACTTGGTGTTTGTCTACCTTGCTTTCTCATAGTGCTTACCAGGATGTTAGATGTATTTGGTAGTAAATAAAGTTTCACTGCAGGCAACTAGCTTGTGTAACAGAATTGCCATCATTAATCATATGGGCTAATCACTCTCCTTACATCTTGGTAATCATGGTAACAAGAACAATTATGTCAACCAGTTTTTGAGCAGCTACCAAATCATGAACTTGGTATATTATCTCAAACCTTCACAACAAGATGCATAGTCTTTTTCTCGGAAAAAGACAGGATTAGAGAGATTAAATGAGATCATCATGCTAGTCAATGCCAGCATGAGCTTTAAACTGTCTGTCTCCAAAATCTGTGCTTTTTCCACTAGACCACATTGCCTAATAAACACAGCAGGTCTGGCTTTAGAATTGCTGGACAGGGTTGCTGATCTAACTTGGAAGAAGCTTCAGTTAAAACTTAGGAGAGGAACTTGTTAGCTGATTTGAACTTTTTCTCCATTTCAATGGAACCTAAATTTTCCAAAAAGGCACCCTATCTACATGACAGGAAAAGAAGCAGGGAGCATTTACTGAAGTTTCCAAGATGATTTGTACAAAAAGATATTTTTTACACTTCATTAGGAGATATTTGGAGTTCTTGTGCCTTAAAAGCTATATATATATGTATTTTGTTTGTTTGTTTTGGTAAACTAAAATGTTAGCATCTTCTCTTCTTTACCAAAGTCTGTCTTTATAATGAGCACTTTAGAGAAACTGTGATCAGTATAGTGGAAGAAAGAAGACCTCAGAAGGTCAATTACCTAGGTTCAAGTTCCAGCTCTATACTTTTGTTGCCCTGGATAAGAAGAAGCATTCAAGCAATCTGTTTCAATTTCCTGATCTATAATAATGCAGCAATTGTGAAAATCAAATATTCTAGTACATGTGAAATATTAAGTGAAGTTCCTAGCATATGACTTCAAAAATAAACTTAATTCTTTTCAGTTTATACAGTTTGTTTTTAAAAGAATAAAGAAAAAGGCCCTGGTCTCCATTGATAAACAAGTTTATTGTAACTTCTAAAGTGCATTAGAGTCTTCTAGAACCCATCAAGGGTCTAACCTGCTCACAGATAGTGGTTTAAGTATTTCCTTTCTTCCTAGAGCAGAGTCAGTAGTTAGGTTAAGCTATATCATCCCCCCCCCCCCACCTTGAGAATTATCTTTTCTATTTTAGCGATATTATTAAGGCCAACATTTCTGGCCTCATTTGTGAAGAACCATCAGGAAATTTTCTAATTTATTCTATAGTTTCATTTCAGTAAAGTTTTGGCATTCTGGTTCTCAAAAGTATGAATCATGTAATTGATTGGTTTTCCCAATTTACTTTGATCCTAGGAAGTTTGAAATCAAATTTAGAGCTAATAATTCTATAGGATTCTATGATCTACATGTTTATATTTCCCTGATCTTAAATTTGTAAAAATAGAAAGTGTTTCTTTTTTTTTTTAAGGGAATTACCTGGAGGTATGAGGTTCCCTATTGTGCTATTTTTATATCTTCTCATAGGGTTCGTGTTG